TGGGAGAGGTTGGATTTGGCCGCTGTGGGAGCCAGCGCTGCCCAGCCAGCGGGTCCCACCCTCCGTGGGTCCCAGGAGCCTACACTGTGCTCACTCAGCTCCTCAAAGCCCACCTTTGCTGGCTCCGTCGGGTCCTCGGAGGATGGTGCACTCCTCGATCTGGCCAAAGGGCTCAAAGAGGCGCCGGACATCATCCTCGCTCTGCTGCTTCCCCAGCATGCCCACAAAGAGCTTCCTGTCTTCTAAAAGCAAAACCAAGCCCGTCGGAAAGTGGCATGTCACTCACCATCCCGTCCCCTCACTCCCAGTTTGCAAATGGTGCACAGAGGAGCAAGAGCTGGGTTAACACCGGAGCTTGGGGAGGGAGCGATGCCAATTCGGTGATGGAGAAGCAGGATTTATCACCTTATCACCTCCATCCTACAAAACACCCAGGGTGGGAAAACCTCTCCTGCAGGGAAATTGCTGAGGGGTGAAGCCAGAAAGAGCCAGCTCCTGATTCAGGCACCGGAGCTGGGGCTTTTGCCGGGGATGGAGGAGCCGGTTCCCCCGGCACCAGTGCGGGATGCAGCTGGGAAACAAAGAGAGCCCACAAAACAGCGGCAATTGCCTTCGTATGATCGACTCGCAGAATAACCCGCAGCCTCCGGCCGTGCCCAGGGGACATAAATAACCCAAACACGAGAGAAGGGAGAGTAAATAATGAGAATTTCATGATTATTACCAGCATCTGTCTTGCGCAGCCGCGTGCTCCCGCCGCGCGCTAATGGCATTTGACAAAGAAAATAAGGTGCCCTGTCAAGAGCGTTGCCGGGGAAATAAATAAATAATGGCAGGAGACGATTAATGCTCTGTCCGTTAAGGTACCAGGAAAATTAGTTAAGGGAATAGGGCTTGTGTGTTGTCTAGTTAAACATAAACCATCTCCCGGCCAAGGTAGCCAGCGGGAGCGGGCTCGGCGGCTGAGCATCGCCTCCTGGGCGAGGGGGCTGGAGCTGAGCGCCCGAGCTTGCCCATCGATTTTTAATCCTTCACCAATTACACTCGGTAAGTGGGTAATTTATTTGCCGGGTCCCTCTGGAACGTGCCAGGACCAGCTTGCGGTGTGCTTAATACCGTGTTTTGAATAGGGGGATATCTACCCTGGCCGCCCCGCCAAGGGCAGGCAGCCCCACGCGAGCATCCCGTGTGTCCGAGCGTGTCTACGCGCCCGGCACTTGCTCGCAGCACTAGGAACATCAAGGGGTTTCGATCCAATTCCTGCAATTTTGCCCAAATTATCAGCTCGGCCTGGAAATGACACAGCCCCGTGAGCTGCAAATGCCCACGGAGAATTTGGTGGGGGGGTGGCATTTTCTGCTTGAGAGGGGCTGGGGCCATGTGCGGCCAGCTCCTGCACCTTGACTCTGCTGGGGTCCCCACAGACAGCTCCGGGCAGGTAATTTGGTTATCTGATAGACGAAGGAGCTGTCGGAGAGCGACTGGCTGGCACTTTACTCAGCATGATGTCAGGATGCTCGTGGTATGACATCAGGATGGTCTTGGCACAATGTCAGGACATTGCCCCCAGACAGCTGGGCAGGGAGAGCTGAGATCACATTTGCTCTGTGCTCAGGTTTGGGTGCCACCGGCAAAGCCAGCGCCTTTCACAGGTTTCTCTGCAAACAAACCTCCCTGCGACAGCCCCCACAATGTCACCACGTCCCCCATCACCCCTCGAATGGCCCTGCGCTCTGCTGCCGGTGCAGGGTAGCTGGGGAAGGGAGGACCTACCTCCTCGGCCCTCGCTGTCGGCCGGCTTCACCTGGATGGGACGGTTCATCTGCAACACACAAGTGGGAGCAGGCGGTCAGTGGCGGTGCTGTGCCCCCCCCGAACCCTTTCCACAGGGAATGGCAGGATTTGGCCCCAGCCTGGCACAGCAGGCCAGAGCAGGGAGCAGGGCAGGGACCTGCAAGAACAGAGCCAGGGCTGGTGGCCACCAGCCGACCTGGGGATGCTGCGGGGGGAGGG